GGTATATACACAGAACATGGAGTCCTTAAAGTTGGACTCTTCTAAAAACAAGGTGCGCACTTAACAGGTTCAACTAGACAGCAGTGTCTATGATACCATTCATCCTATTGAAAGTAGCTTAATGGTGCATTAGTTTGCAAAATTCAATTTGTACTGCTTTTCTTTTGTCATCAGAACTTAAATGGGTAATCTTCCACTTTGTCACAAGATAAATGGATAATCTCACACTTTGTCAAATAGATGACAATATTGTATCTGCAGCTGGAGCAGATTAGTTAGTTGTGCTGCTCGTTCTGGAGCACAAGTCTTCAGTACCGCAGCCAGGAAGTTGTCAGGGCCCATAACCTTTTTCGGTATTCATTGCGATTAGCCAGTTCTTGATTTCACATGGAGTGAATCAAATGGACTTAAATCTTCCTTCTGGGATACCTCAGGAAGAGGTCCAGATGAATCATTCAATTGCCATTTCTGGCTAAAGTTAGTTGCAAATGATTCAGCCTTTTTTTTCAGAAGTTCTTTCCCTCAGTTGTACTTTACAGAGATTGATCAATGTCAGTTAGGTTATTACTGATGGTATTTCATTATATAATTTATTTATCACTCAAATTGGCCTTTTCCTATGCATTGCGCATGAGAGATGCAGAATAGATACTACAAGACCTCTGCCTTACCCCTTCTACAGCCAACGGTTTCAATGTTCCTTCTTCCTTTCCTCCCACGTGGAAGTCTCTGATCCCTACTTTCCACTTGCCTGAGTGACCTTGTTAAAACTAGTAACTCAACATTTGAGGAATTTAATTTTGCTGCACCATGGGGCACATCTTCATTTCAGCTCCAAAACGCTATATCCTATTCACATGAAACTTGGACAATTCACATTATGTTTCTTGAGATGATCATCATTAATCATGTAAATCCTAATGAGTTTGCATGTGGACTGCAGGTTAATTAGTTAAAAAACATTCATTATGACGTATAGGAACAAATAGTTGTGTTATATAGTTTCCAAACTTTGAAATGTGCTTATCACACTATTTAGGATAATTATGTTGATGAATTATTCTAATATGACCTCATTTGCATTTGCAAGTCATAATTAAAACACAGACTTTCTTCTACTAGAAGTACTGCTTTGATGATCTTTTTCTCATAAAATTATTATGTATTTTAAATCAACTTATTTATAAATTTGCCTTGACGTACAAAAATTAGACAAATTGTGTCAATTTTTAACTCAGTCATCTTAGCTTGGAGAAAGATATTTTACTTATTTTACTCAACTTGCAAGAAGTAACCACAGGGATTTGGTGGGGGGTTACAAGACACTGGATTAGGTAGTTTGGCTACAGTCCAAATAGGTTTTTTTTTAATTATTGAAATGACATTAACATCACCTTGAAAATAGGTGATTTATTAATTCAATCAAAACTGATTAAAAAATACATTAAACAAAGAATCGTTCAAAGGCAGCTAGGAATCTAGGGATGCAGCATCTAAAATTTATTTTATAAAATTATGAACTGAGTAAGAATTCCGAGAGTGAGAAAGAAAACAACAAAAAAAGGACAGAGATAATAAGAACTGCCGATGCTGGAGTCTGAGATAACACAGTGTGGAGCTGCAGGAACGCAGCAGGCCAGGCAGCATCAGAGGAGCGGGAAAGCTGACGTTTTGCGTCGGATCCTTCTTCAGAAATGGGGGAGGTGGGGAAGGGTGCTCTAAAATAAATCAAATTGGTGGGGAGCAGTGAAAGCAGGTAGGTAGTGGTGGGAAACAAAAACAAAGTTGCTGGAAAAGCTCAGCAGGTCTGGCAGCATCTGGGGAGGAGAAAACAGAGTTAACGTTTCAGGTCGGGTTCTGAGGAAGGTTCACCGGACCCGAAAAGTTAACTCTGTTTTCTCCTCCACAGATGCTGCCAGACCTGCTGAGCTTTTCCAGCAACT